TAGGATCTTGGGCCCTATTGCCAGCATCTGTGGCCACTACCCACTAGAAGCCACTATTGCATACTCCCCCACTGTTGTAACTACCAGATTTCCTGGAAATAAGGAAAGTCTTAAGACATTGACAGTATCCCCTGGAAGACAAAATTCTCTCCAGCTGTGAACACCACTCTAGCACCATGTGTGGACAAGGGTTAAATTCAGTACAATCACCAGGTCTTGGGGAAGACCTGCAGGCTGGCTATGAAGGAGAAACCAAAACAAGATCAGTCTCTAACCTCTGGGAGAGTGCAGTATCTGAAGAGCTCCTTATCCTCATGAAAATACTGAACCTTCACGATTGTTTTCTCACTTGGAATGTATCCTGATTTTGCAAGGGACACATCTCTCATGACCATTAGTCCTGCTGGTTTCGACTCCTTTTTGCAGATTTTTTCAAATTCAACCCTAGAAAATTAAATTACAAACAATGTCATGACCAATGCTCTAAGCCCCTGGTTGGTCTGGACCTGTGCAAAGATTGGCAGGTACAGGAGTAGTTTCTCTCTATTTCGTCATCCCTCAGGCCTAGTAGAATAATTTTCATGGGAGGGAAGAGAAAATGGCCAACTCAGAAATCGTGGCCTCCTAGCTGGAATACACTACCAGGATGAAAATATTGCTTGGCTTAACACACCAGTAGGGAAATTGTTTCATAATTACATTGTAATAATATAGGCTAAGTATCCCTTATCTGAAATACTTTAAAGAATTTCAGATTTTTTTTATTTGGATTTTGTTATATTGGCTTATACATAATGAGCTGATTGTGGTGGCTCAGGCCTCTAATCATAGAGACTCAGGACAGGAGGCTGCAGGATATAAGTGTGAAGCCAGCCTAATCAATTAAGCAAGTCTCTCTTTCAAAAAATATATACATGAAAAGGTCTGGGAAGGACTTCTGTGGTAAAGCTCCCCTGGGTTCAATCCCCAGGACTGAAAATAATGATAATGAAGATGATGATGATGATGATGATAAAATAATAATGAGATACCCTAAAGATGGGACCCACAGCTCATCACAGAATTTATGTTTTCTATAGGCCATATATACATAGCTTGAAGGTAATTTTATACAATAGTTTTAGTGTGTGTGTGTTGTGACCAAGACCATCACATGGGGTCAAGTGCAGAATTTTCCTCTTGTGACATCATCTTGGTGCTCAATGATTTGGATATTGAATTTTCATGTTAAGGATGCTTGGCCTGTAGTAGCAAATACTCCTGTAACAACTACCTGATGCAAGGTCCTTTTCCTTGTACTCTCCACATATTTTACCTTTTTTGTCCTATCAATAATGCTAGGAGATCAGTACTATTATTATGGACATTTTACAGAGGAGTACACACAGGTTTGGAAAGTTAAGGTGACTGTGTGGGACATGGCACTTGTGTGGGACACACCATATTAAGACGTAGAACTGAGATTAAGGACAGAAAGTCTGGCATGCTCCTAAACACCTCCCAACAAACCACATCACTCAAAAATACATGAACTTGCAGAGGCTAATCTAACTTGTATTCCCATTACATACATGTAGTACATAGTATATCAATTTTTATTCATGCATTATAATTACACCTAATATTATATCATTGTGGTATATTCATATCTGCACATGGTATTCTTGGGCCATCTCCCCTTTCTCTCTCCTCTTCTCCCTCCCACAGAACCTGTTGATGTACTCTATTGATCTCCCTTCTATTTTCATGAGACCTCTTTTTACCCCTTTCTTCTCTCTAGTTTCCATGTGAGAGAACAAAATGACCCTTGGCTATGAGTCGGCCTATTGATCTTAACATGATGTTATCCAGTTTCATCCATTTTCCTGCAAATGACATAATTGCCAGAATACACATTTTGTAAAATAACCAAGAGTTTTCCTTTACCTAAAGCGTTCAATATCAGCATCAGATACTAGATTTTTAATAACAAGAAATCCATTTTCTTCATAAGATTTTCTCTGTTCCAGGCTTAGCACATTATTATCCAAAGTATACCTACAGGACAAAAAGGCACTAAATAAGTCCAAACTTAATTACAACCTACTATTATGTACCAAGGATCCAAGAAATGAGATATCCTATATCGAATACTTCTAATTGTAGGTCTTTAAGAATATGATCTTAAAATGTTTGAAAAACTTCAGGTCCAAAACATTAACAGTGGTCACAAAATGTACAGTAATGGGACAAATATTAACTCATCACATTATATCCACTCAATGGAAAATGACTCAGGCATTAAAACTGAAGGAAATGAATGTGTGGAAAATGGACATTATAATAAAATATGATTACAATGATATAAATATGACACTACTTGTGCAAAGGAGACTGCTGAGAAATACACCAAAAAGATTTTTAACAGTGATTGCCTTTCAATATTGCAATTATGGGTGATTTTTTGAATTCCCACCTTTTCTCTGATTTTTAAATTTGTTCTGGGTGCATGTACAT